CCTACCACCGTTCTGCTATGAAACTTCTCTTCTTTTTCCTGATGGGTCGGTAGCACTACTCGGTGTTCAAGCAGTAGGTGATGACCTTGGGGTCGATCCTCGGCATATTCGCCGCCAACCAAGTAAATACGTCAGCATGGTCCTTCAGTAGTTGTATGAGATCTTCTAAAGACGATCCTCCAGGAGGGATCCGACCTAGACCGTCTTCTCGGGGTCTTCCTCGGAGAATGCACTTGTATCAAGTCTTCGACGGGCTGGCCACGCTAAGTCTTCATCTCATCTCGCAGGTCTATGCTCTTTGTAGTTAGGGTTTCTGCGGCCTAGCGCTTTCCTCGGTAAGATGTCAGGTAGCATTGCCCTCTGCCCTCTAGTCCCCACGTGCTACCTCAAACCTTGGCCAGGATAAGACCGAGGCTTACAACTAAGCACAACAAAATAAAACAAAGAACGGGACATAACAAGCTCGGAACCAAAAAGTCTCTTTTCCATTAATTATCAAATTTTTTACAAGGATAAAAGCTCGGCATACCGAGATCAGCATTCTCAGCCTCCAGCATGGCTGACCGCGCACCCGCAGCCTCAAGCTCGACTAACCGAGCCCTCTTGCACTCGACCTCGGCCTGCCCTGATTCGTAGAGGTGACACACTAATCGAAGATGATCGATCATGATGATCACCAAGCAAGCATTCTACAAAAAAGAAACTAAGTGTCTACACAATAAGATCAACCAAATAGAGCAGAGTAACCAAGACAAGCAAGAAGACTTACCGATGCAGCCTGAAGCGCGAGCGCGCTCTCAAGGGCTCCGCTTATAGACTCAGTGACCTTCTGCCTCGAGGTCGGTGTCAGCAAGCCGTGATGAAGCTACTCAGCCACACCCTTCGTCCCAAGCCCGTCAGTCCAGATGTTCCACTACAACATGTAAATAGCATGAGTACCACCCTCCGGTGTGTTATCTCGTGGGGAATGGGAGGTGGACGGCCTGAGTGCCCTCCTCCGGGTCGACCACCACAACCTCTTCCTCGGCCTACCTTGTCCTCTTCTGCTGCCAGGGAGTCTGCTCGACAGACCTTGGCTGCACTCCCTCAGATCGGGGCTAGGCCCCCTGATAAGGGTGATCATTCAGCCCGGTCCAGAAATTCCGGGCTTGGGCCTGGGTTTTGTGCCCGCAAATTTTAGGGCCAGGCTTGGGCTTAATACTTGAAGCCCGGCCCGGCCCGGCCCGCATGTATTTAAACTTACAATTTTGTGTATAATGTATACATATGTATACATGTTATTTTACATTATATTATATATTTTATATATAAATATTATAGCATGACATGTATAATTTATATTATATGTAATATTTTATATTATATAATGTATAAAATAAGTTTATATGCATGTTATGTCATTTAATATATAGATATATAATATTTTATATTATATAATGTATAAAATAAGTTTATATGCACATTATCTCATTTAATATATAGATATGTAATGTTTTATATACGAGTGACATTGGCCCGGAATCAGGCCCGGCCTAGCCCGGGCCCATATAAACCTGGGCTAGGGTTTATGTTTCAGGCCCGAAACCTTGGGCCGGGTCAGGCCCGAGCCTAGCTATAGCCCTTATCATAAGTGCAAAGCCCAGCCCGGGCCGGGCCAGGCCCATGATCACCCCTACCCCCTGAGCACCTCGGCTAATGCCTGTCTTGCGCAACCCTCATGCGACGAGTGGCATCCTCACAATTTTCCATCTCAAACCGGCCTCCTCACTCATCAGCCCAGCACGGACCAACATTGAGAAGGACGTGTAATGCATCACATCGACCTCCTCGATCATCCCTATTGCCGTCCTCTCTTCCTCGGTGAACTGGGCCAACTCAGGCTGCTTCACCTTTGTCCTCGGGTTCTAGAGCTTGGATGGCAGAGGAGAGCCCCCGAGACAGCACACAAAGAAGAAATTTTCCTTCCAGTTCCAGTGCTTCACTGAAGAGAGGGCTCTTACCAGCACCTTAATATGTTGTTAGGCCGAGAAGTAATAATAGCCTTGCTGGTGGTGGTTTAGTTGAAGGAAGTAAGTGACCATCCCTAGGGTAATCTCAAGGTCATTGATGAAACAATAGGATAGAAGGCCAACCAAAAACCTAAAGGAGTTCGGCATCAATTGAACAGGTAGTACCCGATACCACCTGAACACTTCGACAACGCCCTCGTGCAAAGGGAACCTTAGCCTGCCATCAGGTTGTGCTCATACACACAAAGCTCGCCCGGTCGAGCATCCATGGGCCTCTCACCGGTCATCGGGCACCTAAGTTCATACTCTTCAGGGATGCAGTACAAGGCTCGGATCCGGGCTACATCCTCAGGTGATAAACAATACGGCTTGGTCCCAAATCGGCGACCAACGCACAAAGGAAGATCGACCTCCTCGGTCAATGGCCCTGCCTCATCCTCCTCGGCCTCAGCAACCCTCTTAGGATTGACCCCCTCAAAGTCCTCAGCCTCGGCCCCCTCAAAGTCAAACCCTGGCTCTGACTTAGAATGAGAAGAGGAAGCAAAAGAGGAAGCGAAAGAAGAGGAAGCAAAAGAACAGGAAGAAGAACAGGAAGACGAGGAAGACATCTTACCAAGTCTCGAAGGTTAAGGCCGCGGAACTAAAGCAAACACCAAGCATCGAAGACTACTTCTCGTCGAGCTTTGCAAGTGATTTCCTTCGCAAATGACAAAGGGGAAATGCTCTTCACCCCTTTTATAGGATTCCCAATGATCTAGATCAAGGCAAGATCAACAACGTGGATCAAACACCGTCCTCTAACAGCTTGGGAAGATGAAACGATGCCACTGACCTTCGCACGCGTGTAACCTCGAGAAGGCGAAATGTCGCTTCCGTCAGCATGTCGCGAGCATTGAAATGACTAGTCCGCCCAAAATTTGGTTCAATCCCGAGGTCCTCCACTCAAATGATGCGCTCAACCAACTTCTGACTTGAGTTCCTCAACCAAGAACCGAAGAGCTCTTCCACACCACACTATGACCGATCACTACACTCCTCGACTTCGGAACTGGGGGAGTGGTGTTTGGGTTATGGTTGAGCTGTCCCCAAGTGCCACGTGTCACCTCTATGGCCGCCTTATCTCATCGGCCACGTCACCACTATGGCCCATCTTATCTCTTCAACTATGTCGGCACCACATCATATGGATAAGTGCGACCAAGACAAGAGATTATTGTACAGATGATGACAACTCCACTAGGGATTAGGACTTATCCCGAAGACCTCGGCGGGAAACCTCATCCCGACAACCCCGAAAGCCTCATCCAAGCAAGATACAGATCTTCGACTATAAAAAGATACCTCTTACTCAAGGTAAATTATCCAACTTTTGACTTCTATACCGTTACTTTGCTTGGACCAGCACCGTTCTTTAATTGCGCAGCCCGACCACCCACTATTCTCAACTAATTTGAGCATCAAAACATCTACCCAAATATAGCTCCTCGGGCCTCTAACCATTTTCTTGATTTCAGATCTTGCATTGTGACTTCATCCTTCCACCTCGACTCCATCTACTGTGACCTCAGTTCAAGAACGACCTCATATCGAATAGCATCAAGTGGCTCTCACATCGAAAAAAGAGCTGGTTCCATTTTAGTGCAAATCCATCAAAATTCAAAAAATCCACTGGCTTGGTCACGAAGTTAAAAGTATCGATTTCTCTAAGAGCATCACAAAAAGGCAATTCAAATATGTATATCAGGATATACTCAGAAGATGTATGACTATGGTGGAATGATTAGACCAAGTGCATGAATTTGTTGGGAAACTCAAATCCCAACAAATTTTAATAGTTTACTTACATGACTGCAAATGAAATATAGATACATAAAGAGAGAAAAAATTAAAAGAGGTAGCTGTGACATATAAAGGCTAATATAGACCCAGTACAATCCCATTTTGATCACAAAATAGTAGACCGAACTGAGCGTTTGAATTAGGTAAATGGGCTAGTGGCAAATAGCTGACCAACCCTGGCTGACATAATAAGATTAATGGAAAATTTTAGAAAATTCCTCGTCATCTAGGGAAAATAATATATGCTTAACCCAGAGAAGCTCCAAAACTAAAATGCTGGAGAACTATAGTAGAATGATCCCCGCCCGACATAGAGCAGCCCCTCTGGGGTCTGACCATTCTCCATTTCTCTGTTTCCCCCTTTGGCCTACTTCACCGAACCACCACCTTCTCAGACTTTTAGAAGTCCGGACCACGGACTTGTGGGGTCCACACCCTTTAAAAATTCATAAAGTCGGGTCACAAGTGAAACACTTGATCATGCCACCCTCGGGGGTGCTCTCTAATATGTATGCTTTTATTTTTCAAACCAAAACTGCTATATCAGCAAACATAACATGATTTTATTGACGTGGGCATTGTTTTTGCTTTGGGAAACAAAACCATCCATATTGACAGAAACTGCCTTGAGTTGAGTTGGGTTAAAAGTTAATGACGATTAGAGGGTTAATTGGAAAGAGAGTTGGTTAGCATTAAATATGGGGAGAGATGAGAGAGCTAGCATTAATTACAAAAAACATAAAAAAATAATTTCACATGCTTAAACCTATCCTATTGTTTATATTTTACTACCCTTGAACTGAGTGGGAAATGTTCAAGGGTATAATCCATGGTTGTTTATTTCAAATATACCCCTAACATTTTTTTATAGAAAATAAAATTGACCAAATAAAGAAAAATAGTGATTGTTAGGGGTAAAAATAACGTTTTGTTTTTAATTTCTTTTGATTAAATTTATTTGAATGGATGCTAGTGTTAATGTCATTTTTCACTTTCATATAATGGAAGGTCGATTAAATAAATTGATTGCAAACTACAAGAGATTTTTAGTAAATCACAAACTATAGGGTAGGTTTTAATAAATTCATGAAACTATAGGGGTGCTTTAGTAAATAACCCATACGGCCATACTAAAACTATTAAACAGAGAAATTGGGCATGAAAGGAAATAGGCATTACACCGATACATGATTATCAGCTCCAAGTCCAACACGACAATAAAAGAAGTTCGCTTGAATAAATTGCAGATTAATCTTCTCACTAAAGGAAGCACAAGACTCAAAGCAGAAAAATGCTTTTGCAGTTTTAACCAGGAGAAACAATCAAACAATTAAGAAAAACCTAAATGTCAAAGTTGAGAAATAAAAATGGTACATGTTACAGAAGTCCAAGGACATCAATTTGGCAGATAAATTGATTTTTGAAACCAGTTGGGAAGCACCGTCTTACTTGTAAAGTAGCTTGAATCTTTTACAGGCTTCTAAGACGTTCCCCCTGTGACCAAAGGCACTAACCCTGATGAAACCTTCACCACCAGGTCCAAAGCCACTGCCTGGAGTTGTAACTATATGGGTCTTTTCAAGAATCTCAGCAAACACATCCCATGAGCTTCGACCAGGGAAGTGGACCCAAACATAAGGGGCATGTTCCCCTCCGTATACTTTAAAACCAAGGGAGTTGAATGTGTCCACTATAAGCTTAGTGTTATCCTTGTAAAAAGAAACAACTTCATGCATTGCCTGCAAGAAATAGCAATTTATTAATAACACAGGAGATGAGTTCTCTAATGTTAACTAGCATGTAGAAACTACACAACAAAAGCTAACCTTGAGACCCTCTGGAGAAAGGCAAGCCAATCCACCAGCTTGTGCAATGTTAGATGCACCATTGAAACAAGTACAAACAATACGGTTAAAGTCCTTGGCAACAGGAAACCCATCAGAGAAAAGCAGCTCTTTTGGAACTACAGTCCAACCAAGTCGGACTCCAGTGAACCCAGCATATTTTGAGAATGATGTTGTCTCTATTGCAACCTGCAGTATATATCTCAATATGTTAAACAAAGCGTTGAGGGGGGGATGACAAAAGGAAGAAAATATCCTCTCTATCTATTACATCAGAGAAACATTGACTAATTATGCTCTGGATCTTGCCAACAACAGATTCTATTCCAGAAATAGATCCTGCCAAATAATCCTACAATTTTATGACCATTACTTTGGATTGTCAGAATATTGTTTGGGAGATTAAAATGAAAAGCAGAAAAAAGTTTTAAGGTTGGGACCATACTGCCAGATGTTTTTCTTTCTTAAAGTACAAAAAATTCCATATTAACTTTCCTGGAAAATTTGAAAATTAGACCAATAAAATAGGTACAGTAAGGATCTTAAAACTTATCAAATCCACATTACCCAATCAGTGATCGGTAGCAATATGGTCATTGGTTAACTAAACAGAACATATGAAATAGCTGATGCATTTTTCATTGCAGAAAGCTCTTGCTTCCCTATATTGAATAGCAATATAAAAGTAATTTTAAATTGAAATACATTTCCATTGAGGAAACTATGATTAGACACGTGAAAAACACCTAGATACCACCATCCAAACCCTTGATCAGCAGCTTCAACATTAAGATCCCATGTCCTCTATAAGAGTTACATCCTAACTGTACAGATAATAAGAGGCTTGTTTTTTGAGAAGAGATGGGATAGTGGATGTTTTTCAGCAGAAGAAGCTGCTAGATATTGAAATTGACCCCAAGTTCTGCAGTTTTATGACACTATTCTGTGAAAGCTACTTGCTTTGCACACTGTAAATATGGTTACTGCGGAACAGACAAGCTATACTTGCCTAAGAGATTTACAACTTGCAGCAGAAATTAATAGATGAACAAGTTAAAATAGATAACAGAAAAAGAAGAATGAAGAAAGGTTTGATTCCTTGTAATCAGAAAGAACTTTGAATAATCATTTTGAGATTTACCTCTTTTGCTCCAGGAATTTCAAATATAGACCGAGGTCTGTCATCTGATATATACATGGCATATGCGGAATCATAGACTATTATTGAACCATTTTCCTTGGCAAACCGTACCAGCTGTGTCAATTGCTCTCTTGTTGCAGCAGAACCAGTAGGATTGTTTGGTGAACAAAAGAAGATTATATCTGTTTTCTGAATAGTTGATAAATCTGGAAAGAAGCCATTTTCAGGACTGCATCTCATATACTCAATGTTTCCATATTTTTCAATATCCTTCTGGAACTGGCCAGTTTGGCCCATTATAACACTTGAATCAACATATGCCTATAAATAAAAAGGAAAGTTCACCATTTAGTTCCAGGAAAAAAGGGAGTAAGATTCGTATATTTATTAGGAAGAAACATATGATCCTAAGTTTGCAGATTAAGCTAAATACAAGTTTAGAACCTAGAGGACCAGCTAATACTACAGAACTGATTTGCATTCATAATTTATTCTTCCACTAAAATGTGTGTGTGTAGATGGTGAAGAATCTAAATTATCTCTGCAGTTATTCCATGGCCCAAAGTAGGTCAATTAGATAACTCCGGCCACCTAATAGGCATTCCCTAAACCAGACATTGATTACATCCATGTGCATGTCTTCCATGCACAGAGAAATAGATGAAAGAGTAAATGCTGTATTCCATTAATGCAGGGCAGCCTGTCCCCCCAACCCTGATGGAGGCAGGATCAAATCCCAGGTCTCTGCTACAACCAGCAGGAGACTTTACCAGCAAGCCAGCCAGCATCTTCAACTGCCTGTCAATATTATACAGATATTGACAGAACACAAACAAGATAACATGGTCAAAGACCTATCTTTCAAACTAAAGAATCGATACCAATACATTGCTTATTGTTATGAAAGAAAATACAAATCTTATCATAAAAAATTAAAAAAAAAGTTAGACATTTACCGGATATGATGGGTCTTGCACTGCCATTGTTACATTAGAACCAAAAAGAAGCTGTGACAAAGGAAGCCAATGTCAACATCAAGTTCTCAGTGGGGTAGCAGCCAAAAAAATTTCTACTGTAACTTTATGATGCAACCAAGCCTAGAAAGCACAATCATGCAGGATTCTAACATTTACTTCAAAGTTCAAACACTGAAGCAGTAAATCTGACTGTGACAAATGAAGTTTGGAAAAAACCAAATATATAGGAACTATGACCAACCTGGAGACGGGATATGTCACATTTTGCACCATCTGAAACAAATATATCACTTTCCTCAATGCCCATGTCAGCATAAAAAGTTGATGCAATTGCAGCCCTTAATTTCTGTACAAATATAAAATCTGCATTATTCCTGAACTTAAGGGAGTACAGAAATTACACTCACCTAAAGAGATGTTAAATAAAAGTTCCAGAACTTCATTTTGAATTAGTAGTATGGACACTCAAAACTGGATAACATTCCCATAACATTTTCAACAATCCTGGACAAGGATTTTGCAGGACAACCACTATCCTGCAATATTTATCAACTTCTGCAAAAAAAAAAAAAAAAAAAAAATCAACAGACAAATGACATGTCGAAATTTTGGGATTGACTGTACATTTTTTTAATCAATAACATAAGATTCATTAAATAAAAAAAATATTACAAGAAATAGAACCACTCAATGACCAACTGCAGCAATAGATTTTTTATTTTGTTTCTTATTCAAAAATTAGTTATTCTTTTTATTACCTGACCATCTCCTTATCTTCATTTTCAACATGTATTAAATAGTAACATTGAATAAAATATCAATGCGAAGATTTCTGAAGTATTAAAAGAATCAAGAAAATAGTTTTAGTTTACAAATGTCTTTTTACCATTAAACTACTTTTTTTTCTTTTTTGAATTTCTATTTATTTGTCAACAAAATATATAAATGGCATATATTCTACTAATGTTGAATCCACTGATCATTTGTGCATCCACTGCCCGTTTTCTGCTCATTTGTGGAATCATCTCCTCAACATTGTGAAGGTTAGCTGGGTGATGCCGAGGTTGGTTAAAGAGTTGTTAAACTGTTGGCAGATTAAGGGTTTGAGCAACAAAAGGCAGGTTCTCTAGAAGCTAATTCCAATTGTGGTTATCTGGTGCATCTGGACCGAGAGGATCAGAAGGGTTTGTAATAACAAGTCTCTTAGTCCGGAGGATCATTCTCAGAAGAGTGGGCAAGCTGGTTTCGTGGCTGTCTGTGACTGCTGAGTTTAGAAATTGTAATGTATCAGATGTTTTATTTTCTGTTTCTTGATGGTTCATGTATTTGCTGTTTTTGATCAGTCAGCCATTTCAGGGACTGATCTCAGCCTCTTGTGTGTATCTCTTTCTCAATAAATATTACTTTACCTTTTCCAAAAAAAAAATATTCTACTAAATTTTGCTGCATGAGACATTGGCAGTATCAGAAGATTCATCATATTCAGCATGTAGCATATATAAAAGAAGATACTTAACTCAAAAGCGGCCTATCAAAATAATGGCTGATATTTGTATCACATGTACGTGTCAATGTTTGAAAGTGGAGTCATGTCCACCTTGAATAGGAAACTTAAATGATGTAATGCAACAATGGTGTGGCCCAGGCCCGAAGCCAGGCCTACAACTTTAAATATATTGGGTTTAGTATGTTAAATATTTTATATAATATGAAATATAATATACACATATATTTAAAAATAAGTGTATTCCAGGCTGGGTCTAACTAGAAATGATCACCCCTAACTTCCAGGAATGAGAAACAAAACCAATGAAGTCAGAGGTGTTTATGAAAAAGGCTGTAAATATGAACTGCATACCTTCTCACCTTGTTCAGCTCCATAACCACTGTAACCCTCTAATGTTGATAATGAATGTGATCTCTGCAGAACAAATAAGTTTGATAATTAATTAGATACAGGAAAAATTGATGTCATTGATGGAAAACTAAAGGAAGACTGTGGTGGGCTACATCATTAATCAAACTTGTAATTCTGGATAACAATTTCAACGTTGTTATCCAACTATCCAAGAACCAAAATAGTTAGAGTATACAATTAGACAAGGGCGAGCAATCACCTCTAAACTACCAGTTAAAATATTGATCCCTCTCTATTCTTAAACCTTGGAGAGCTGCCAATGAGTTTCCTCTGACTGAATTTCCAAAGCCAATAGATCCCAAGTGTAAGGCAGGCTGTAGTTGTGCAAGCATGCATCTAAAAAGATGCCTAATACCTGATTGCCCTGGGTTTCTACAGCTACAGCCATCAAAGTCAAGCTTAACATGGCTCTTATGAGGAAGCCAAGAGTAGTGGATTGGCACAAAGGACGAGGATGAGGAAGTAGCTATTTTCCTCTTTCTCCTTTACGTCTTTTTCTAGGCTTTTTGCACTTGTCTTTAAATGTTAGAGATTACATATTTGATGTTCCAAGGCCCTAGGACCCCCTCTTGACCTCAACCAGCATTTTGATTCATTGAAAGATCCTAAAATGCCTTGTTTGAAACCCCTTTACCAACTTAGTGGTTCTCTTTTCACTTGTTTTTGTTGATTATTCAAACTCTCTGAAGTTATTTCCAGCCTACTTTAAACTTAAACTATATCTCAAAGTAACAAGCTCAGGGGCTTTGTAGCCTAATTCCAGCTTACTTGGGCCAATTTCAGTCACCTAATTAGCTGCCCTTTGGATTAGCCCAGCTTCAAAGAAGTTCTGAATAAATGTAAAATTTCTATAATTTATGTTCTGTTTGTCCTTTTTCACCACTCAAAGAAAGGAGAAGCAGAATACCTGTGCCATGGCAGATGTTATGACTTCTGGAATGGGCTCAGTTGTATCACCAATTCCAAGGCTTATCACTTGTGCATCAGGATATTTCAGTATGTGTGCAGCCCTTCTTCTAGCAATCTATTTCAGGGAAAACATTTCATCAGGATATAAATAGAATGATAAAGAAGGAAAGTAAGAAAACATAACATGAACAAGCCAAACTAGAGAGAGAGAGGGCACCTCCTTTTTCAATTCACTTTTTATGCCCCTAAAATCCAAGGAAAAGTTTCATGATTGACTGGTTGGGTCAAGGATTCATCTCAGTGCTTCTTTTTTTACCTTCTTTTACTTCACCAAGAGATAGGTCTTGCTTCCATACTGTAGTTTTTTTATCAACGCTTCTATAACGTAGTTTTGTTTGGTTTTTGTATAATATCATGCTTAGTTGCTTACTATAATGTTTTTTTTTTTTTGATAAATGTTGCTTACTATAACGTTGGTTTGAGAGTTTAATTTTCTCTTCATTTTGTATGTATACCTCTTACATCTACAAGCATATTGCATAGTTTTATGTTTTAGGTATTATTATTTATATTCTTCCCGTGGTAATGACAGGTTAGCTGCTTCAAATTTTTATGCTGCCTCTTATGTCCATGTTCATATTCCACAGTTACTTGGAATGCTGTTCAAGGACACTAACCTTAATAATGCCAGTTGTAAAACTTTTCAACCTGCTTATTTGAAAAAGGCTAGCACATAGAAATTTTCTTTCCCAAGTGAGAGAAGCTATTGCACTGTAAAGTGGGAAAAGGCCTTGCTAAGTTGAGCTGAGTTTAGTTCTCAGATCTTGCTGAAATTACAAGTTAAAAATTATTAAAAGAAAATTCATAGTTTATAATTCTATTATTTTCTCGTGCTTACTATTTTCTCCTATGGTGCCTATTCTTCTATATTTTTATCTTGTTTTTCCTAAGTTTCTAACCTTATTTTTTTCTATTTGCCTTGATTTTCACATATTTATTCGTTATTTTGGAATGACCTCAATTTTATGTACTAAAAATTGAAGCAAAAAGAAATTATAAACAACATTTTCACAGCTATCTTCGGATCCATCACAAAGCATCCAAAAGCAAGACACTACCAAATCTTACCTGAGGTGCTGAATGGTTAGATTAGAAGATATATTCTGGCTGTTACCCACCATTTTTATGGTCTAACATGTAAAATCTAGGATGATTCTCAACGGTTTTTTCCATCAAGTGCCCAGTGTTTTAAAAGCACAAGGCGCAGGGGTCAATTTGCGTCTAAGGTGCAAGGTGCAAGGTGAGGTGCATGCCTTTTTGAAGCAAGGCGCAAAATTATAAAATAAATGCTAAAAAATAAAAAAAAAGTCAGAAAATTTAAAAAAATCAAAAAATATTAAACATAATATTAATAAAAAAATATAAACTTAAATTTTAAAATAATGTTTTAAAAAACCTATTATCTAAAATTACAATACATAAACATAAGATGTAAATCATATTCAAACAAGAATTTAAAAATAAAATCAAGCATATAAAACATTTTCAAGCATTTAAAACCTCTAATCTCTTTTTTCACTCAATTGCATTACTTCACGTAGCTAATGTAATGTAAAACATATTACATTCCTGATCCTATGAGCCGCCTTTGTGCCACGACCCCAAGGTTCAAAGTATCGACACATATCAGCCCGTATCGGCCAATACGTATCGTTTCGGGACCCCTCCAATACGCCCCTACAGTGGGTGTATCGGGGGTCTAACCGGTTCAGGGGGTGGAGGAGCCCTAAACCAGCCCCCCTGAACCGGCTGCGAAAAAAATAAAAAAAGCAATAAAAATGAGTTTCGATTCGCCCGATACACCCCTACCGGCATATCGGGCGTATCGATATTTTGAACCTTGCACAACCCTCAAGGCAAGCCCAAACAAGTCCACGTTAGGTCTTAAATTCTTAGTTTTCACACAAAAAATAATGATTTTATAGTTTTAATTACTTTTTAAGAAGGCATTTTATTAGGATGAATGAATGAACAACATTACCAAATTGGGGGTTCTCGGAGCTTCGATGAGCAAGCGAATCGGAGCGGAGCCCCCAGCCCAGCCACTATGTTTAAAAAAAAGCATCAAATTTTCAAAAGGTGCACGCCTGGGCTGAGGCGCACGCCTAGGCCCACCTTTTAAATCACTACAAGTGCCCACTACCTAGGTCTGCAAATGTCCATAGTAATCAAAGTGTTTTGGCAACAAGAATTCTGTTAAATAAAAAGGTAAATTTTGATCAGTTCCCAAGTTTTATAAATCAATCAGCATGTATATTGATTGAAAAATAGTAACTCTTTGTACCTCTCAAAACATGATAAATCATCATATTTAAAAGACATATTAATTTCAATATTTGTAAAAGTAATGCTAATAAGTATTTAATAGAGAAACTTCGTATCAATTTAGCAACTAAAGAAGGTTATGATTTTAAATGAAAAACATTTAAGATAGAAAATAAGTAAAAGATAAGTTAAAGAAAAAAAAGAACAAGTGTGGAGACACTGTTTTATTTAATGTGTGAGAGAGAGAGAGAAAAAAAAAGAAGAAAAGAAAAGAAACCTCTTTGTCCTTTTTCTTATATCAAAACCCTTGGAACTTGGATGTTCTAAATTTCAGCAGTAAACCCTTAAAAAAATTATGAATAATATACTATAAAATGTATGAACATACATATTAGTAAGATGTAGCCATCTTATAATGCAGTGTCCACCTTGTGACTTTTGTCTCCTAGGTGGTGCCTAGTCACCTAGATGATGCCTTGGCAACTATGCAAATGCCAGTGAGGATTTGGCCATGGGTAGCTAGGCTATACCAGATTTGTAATCTGATAGTAGCCTGTACTGACTGTTTTTTCTTGGCTATGGGGCACTCTTGCAAACATTCTACTGCTCTCATTCAAGGACTGAAACTGGCCTGCTCTCTAAGTATAGGGAACTGCAAAGTAATCAGCTGGTTGGATAATGAAACAGAAGGTCCTTGGATACCAAGAAGATAACAAGAGAAGCTAAAAGTCAAACAGAAGGTCCTTGGATACTAAGAAGATAACAAGAGAAGCTAAAAGTCTGGCATCTAACCTGAACTGCTTGTTCAGGTGGGTACCTAGGACAGGTGAGGGATTAGCTGATGGGCTTGCAAGGATGGGGGTTAACAAAGATAGTCTTGTATAGGAGCCACCAGGCAAGGGATTGCTATGACTTTGTCATGTTGCTGGGCTGTTTTGTTACAGACAGCAGTGACTGTTATCATTGTACTGTCTTTCTCTACATTGATTTGATATAAGAAAAGTTACAAGATTTTAGCCATCATGAACAATGGATTGAACTCCAACTTCATTTGTCTCATTCCAAAGAAAGGGGGACTCTTGGAGGTAAAGGATTTCAGACCGATTAGACTAGCAGGGAGTTTTTACAAGATTTTAGCCAAAGTGATAGCAAGAAGACTAAAAGAAATCCTAGGAGACCTAATCTCCTCAAACCAGTTTGCTTTTGTGAAAGGAAGGCAAATACTGGATAGCATTCTTATAGCAAATGAATGTGTAGAAGATAGAAAACTAAATGAAAAGCCAGGGGTCATAGTAAAACTAGACCTTGAAAAAGCCTACGACAAAGTGGATTGGGAGTGTATTCACCAAATTTAAAGGTTAGAGGCTTTGGTGGTAAGTGGGCTAACTGAAGGCTGCATTGAATTAACTTGGTTCTCAGTGTTGATAAATGGAGAACCAAAAGGCTACTTCAAGGCAAGTTGAGGTCTGAGACAAGGTTGTCTCCTATTCATCAAAAAAAAAGACAAGGTTGTCTCCTATCCCCCTTTCTTTTCTCATTGGTGATGGATATCTTCAATCAGCTTTTCGACAAAGCTAAAACCCTTAACTTCATAAAAGGTTTTGAAGTGGGAAGAGATGCTCTCCACGTCTCACATCTACAGTTCGCAGACGACATTATCTTATTTTTGGAAGCATCTCTAGACAACATAACCAATGCTAAGAGGGTGATTAATTGTTTCAAGGGGGTAACTGCATAGTTTTCAAGGCGCCAAGGCAAGGCTAGGCGACAGGGGGGTGCCTTGTCGCCTAGTTTTCAAGGCGAGGCGGGCGCCTAGACATCACCTATGCAATGGATTTTTTTAAGTAAAAAATCACATATCCTAGGGTAGTTCCCTAGGTTCCATAACCAACTTTCTTTAATAACTATCCATAACTTTCATAAGAATATTATAAGCTTCATGTTTAAGTCTAGAAAATCAACATATTTATGAGAAGAAAAAGAAGAAAGGAAAGAAAATTCAAAAAATATAAGGGCTGAACCCCTATTTTTGTTATAGGAAAAGAAGAAAAGAAAAGGTAGAAGAAGAAGAAGAAGAAGAAGAAGAAGAAGAAGATGTGGAAGAAGAAAAGTGTTGATTAGACAAAATTTTAAGTTCTTCCCTTACTTATTGGTTCAGATCTTGAAGTCATTGAGGGTTCAATACAGCAGTTAGCAATGTTTGTGTTGATTAAACCCTAACAAATAAGAAAATAATAAAAAGAAATTAGTTTATAAACACAAAAATGAATGTTTTTCTTTAATAATGTCTATTTTATAATTATAATATAAAAAATATATATATATAAAAGTATTTTATTACACAGCATGCAAAAGTGCTTGGCAACTGGGCAAGGCGAGCCGCCTCCAAGGGCACCTTGTCGCCTAGGCGTCACCTTGGCAACTATGGGTAACTGGTTTGAGGGTCAACTTCTCCAAAAGTAGTGTTGTAGCAATAAATTCTGTAGAAGCAGGTCTGCTGGAATCTTTTAAAGCCATTCTGGGATGCAAAGTGGAGTCCTTGCCAATTCTCTACTTGAGGATGCCTCAAGGGGAAGACCCAAAAAATTTCAGCTTTTGGGGGACAGTGATGGAAAAATGCGAGAAGAAACTAGCAACTTGAAAGAGCTGTTATTTATCAAAAGGGGGCAGACTCACTCTCTTAAAGGCCTCTCTTGCAAATCTGCCAATCTATTATTTGTTGGTCTTCCAAATCCCAAGGAAAGTCGACCTGAAATCGAGAAACTTCAAAGAAATTTCCTTTGGGAAGGCAGCGGGGAAAAAAGAAGTCACTTAGTAAGCTGGGATCAAGTATGTAAACCTAAGGAGGAAGGTGGATTGGGTATTGGCCATCTCAAGGAGAAGAATACTTCCCTTTTGGGGAAGTGGCTTTGGAAATTTCCCAAAGAACCAAACTCTCTATGGGGAGCTATCATCTCTTGCAAGTACAGGACAAGCTCAAACGGTTGGGATAGCAATCTCCATTTGAACCGGGTAAAATCCACAAACCCTTGGAAAGGTAACATTTCTATTGGCAATTCTTTTTTCCCTTTAATTAGGTACAAAGTAGGTAATGGTAGCAGGATTAAATTCTGGAAAGATCTCTGGTGGGGCCACTCTACCCTAGCTGATTCTTTCCCAAGACTCTTTAATCTAATCCAAGACCAAGATGCAACCATTTCTGCTTGCATTCCTGCCTCTTCCTCTGAGTACACTCTGAACCTAAGCCTTAGAAGACCTCTAAGAGACCCAGAGATAACCCAAGTAGCAGACCTACCCCAAGCTCCAAAGGAGGTCTACATCTCATCTAGTTCCCAAGACTATGATTTGGTCCCCTCACCCTATAGGTGAATTCTCTTCCAAGTCCTTCTACAAGGTTTTGACTGCAGGCGATCAGATCTCCCCCTTCCCATTTAAAAAGGTTTGGAGTAGCCAAATCCCCACAAGAGTTTGCTTCTTTGTTGGGAAACCAGCTTGCAAAGGATCAACACTTGTCACCTTCTTCAAAAGTAGAGCTTGAGAAGACTCTTCATTTCACCCCATGCTTGCACTTTGTGCTTGAGTGCAGGAGAATCAACTAATCACTTACTCCTCCACTGCAATGAGACAAAGAAAATTTGGCACCACTTCCTGAAGTTGGCGGGGTATGGTTGGGTTGCCCCTGAAAGTATCCGGGATTTAATTCAACAATGGCAATGCAAAGGTCTTAGCAAAAGAGGCAAAATCTATTGGCAAACTATACTATATGCAGTGTTGTGGGGAATTTGGGAAGAAAGATATAATCACTTATTTGAAAACAAGAAAAAATTCCTTGAGTTAGTCTCCCAAATTACTCTACACTGTAATCTTTAGGCCATTAATTCTGATAATGTTCAAAGGATTCTCAACAAATGATCTCAACAGAAGTGCAAAGTTTCTCTTCTCTCAGTTGATTTCCCTCCCTTCTGTTCCCCGTGTGTTAGTAAGAAGAAGAAAGAGAGGGACAACACTAAACTTTGATGGGAGCGCATCAGGCAACCCAGGAGTGGCTGGTATAGGAGGCATAGTAAGAGATGAAATGGGGTGTTATCGTGTGGACTTTTTAGTGGTCCAAAAGGTGTTGCTGATTCTACCAAGGTGGAAGTGTTATCAGCTCTCAGGGGAATCAGAATAGCTAGAAACCTGGGCATTCAAAACTTAACCATAGCAGGAGATTTAGCAAATACTATCAAATGGTTAAGAAAAAAAGAAGGAGGTCCATGGGGATTAAGTCATTTTTTGACAGAAGCAAGAGACTCTGGATCTGTTGAGTGCTAATCTGATTTGGATTCCAGGGGAACTAAACTCTATTGCGGATAGTTTAGCTAAGTTAGGAGCTCACATTGATGTAGTATATAGTACAACTTGATTCCAGTGTAATCCCCAGGGGTTTCCCCTTTTATGTTGTACATCTCCTCATGTACTCTTTATTTTATCTAATAAAACTAGCGGGGACCCGTACAATGCACGGGACTTATTAAGTGAAAGATAAATAATAGAAATGGTCATTTACTAAAATACCCCTATAGTTTCATGGATTTACTAAAATCCACCCTAAAGTTAGCATTTTACTAAAACACCACTTATAATTTGCAACGGATTTAATCAATCTTCCATTAGATAATAGTGGAAAACAACAATGTTGACCCTAATGTTCATTTAAATAAATTTAATCAAAAGAAAATAGAAATAAAAATACCATTTTTGCCCTTAATAAGACACGAACAACCACTTTATTGGCTATATTTGGCCAATTTTGTTTTCTGTATAAAAAAGTGTTAAGGGTGTTTTTGAAATAAAAAACCATGGGCCTAATAGCAAAACGCACTCCTTAATGAAAGGTTGATTAAGTAAATAAGTTGTAAAATACATGGGATGTTTTAGTAAAACGAAAACTACAAGGTAGGTTTAAGTAAATATATAAAACTATAAGGTATGTTCTAGTAAATGACCCTAATAGAAACACATAAGAGTATACAATTGTTTTGTATTTTCAACTTTTTAAATAATTAATAATTATTCATATTTTATATGCTACTTAACAAACTTTTTATAATGCAAAAATAACAATAATTAATCTTAGTTAGGTTCATCAAACTTATGAAACGGACCAACCCGATCAACTCGACCCGGGTTGGTTGGTTTTCTAGTATTTTATGTCGGCTTTGGTTCAAAAAATTCCCAATTCGACCAAATTGGGTTAAAATTTCACTTTGGCCATTTGTAAACCAACCAAAATCAAACAACCTAACCATGGATATATATATATATATTAAATATGAAAAAGTGAGAAATTTCCATACTTCTTAGTCCAAAATATTGTATTTCATAAATCTAATTTTTAAATTTATTTTTATTAATTGCATTGTAGTTTTTAAAATTAAATTCAATTTTTAAGTTTAAATCTTAAGCGACTGACCTTTTGTAAAAACCAACCCAAACCGATACAACTTGAGTGGGTCAGTTTTCACAAAAGGTTAGTCGGTTTCAGCTGACCAATTCCCCAACCTGACTAGGTCAATTTGGTTGGTCAAATAGCCTACGACCGGACCGAACCAACTCAAGAACACTCATAATTTTAGCTAAACTAATAGTCCTATCTAAATAACAATAGTTTACTTTTAGGGAGGGTTAAGAGATTTTACCCCTCCCTCCTGTTGTATCCTCCTTTTTAATTTTATTAATAAAAGTTTATGTTATTTATCAATAAATAAATAAATAACAATAGTTGAATTTTCAATAATTATGGAAAATTTATAGCAAAAATACACAATTATTGAAAATATATTGATAATGAAAAAAATACAATAAGTACTAAAAATATATTAGTTTAGTCAATAAATAGTATAATCTCAAATAATAGTTTAATCACTAATAAATATTAATTAATCAATAAGTTATAACAAAAATACAATAAGTACAATAAATTAAATTTAAAAAATTCAATAATAGTAGTTTAATCTCCAATAATTATTGAAAGTTTTCTATTAAATAACAAAACAAAATAAATTTATACATAATCATTGAAAGTATATTTATCATAATTAACAATAAATAATTACTGAAATAAAATAAATATTAATTTTAGTATATATAATTATACAATAAATACAGATTAAGAGTTTAAAATTATTATTCTTAAATATTAATTTTTTTAAAGTTATTTTCTCGAATTATTACTTGATGTAAGTGAAATTTGATATTTACAATATTATATAAAAATATTAAATTATTACTAATTTCAACATTATGTTATATTTATATTTCTACTTTTCAGAATTTTTAAATTTATTACGTAATTTATTTATTTATTTTAACTATTTAAAATCTAGTTAAGTTAAATATTTTGTTATTTAAAATATTTAGTTATTTCAATACTTAAATAATATGTAAAATATTAATTATTTATTGATTTTAATTATCCATAAAATCATAATTTATACTATTATTACATAATTTCTTTATTAATTTTGTAATATATTAAATTATTATTAATTTCAATATTATGTTATAATTATTTTTCTACTTTGAAGAAATTTTTTAATTTATTACATAATTCCATTATTTTAACTATTTAAAATCTAGTTATGATAAATATTTAAATAATCTATAAAAATTGAATTTTATTTATTTAAAGCTATTGCATATTATTAAATATTTGAAAAACATTTAAATTGATAATCCAAAAAAACATAATTTAAATTGTTAGTACTTAATTTCGTGATATATTTTGTAAAAAATATAAAATTATTTTTGTATTTTTAATAAATATTTTAGAATTATTATATAATTTTGTTAGAATATTTAAATAATTCTTAAATTTTTTAACCCAAACTTTCTTTAGATAGATATAGATAAAAAGTAGGGGAGAGGAGAAATAGGAATTAGAGATAATTTAGGAGAAAAACTCTCTACTAAATTAGAGATAATTTTGGAGATAAATATGAATTAGAGATAATTTAGAAGATAAATAGGAATTAGAGGTAATTTTGGAGAAAGTGGGGGAGGTAGTTTAGGAGAAATTTTAGGAGAAGAAATTATTTAGGTTATTGTAAAGTGCATCTCGTTGGTTGTTTTGAAAATGACATGGAATAAAAAAAATAAAAAAGGAGAAAACTTCTTCACCGCCTTATTTTAATATATATATATATATGATTCTGATACCTTTTTCTCAAAAAATATATTTTGTTAGGGTTTTAGACTTTCTTATTAGAATCTCTTTTATTATTTTAATGATAAAAAAGGTGATCCAAGTTAAGGGTAATCCCCAACTCAAGTGACTCCATATGCGTAGTACATTTCCATTGAAAGAATTAAAATCCAAACAAGCAATTTGTGTACTGCATTTACATGTAATTAGTATGTTAACCACTTTAATTTTGAAGAACAGATGAAATAGTATTCATTGCTATCAAACTCAAATAAATGATCTTTTCATAAATAAAAAGAAACAGAAAAAGATCAACCAGCATGATACCATAAATTACTTATCATTGTATGTGAAGCTTTCTCACCTCCGGGAATAAATATCCAGCTTGAAGTTTTGCCATGTTTGCATTGCGAGAGACCTTTGTCTTGTAAGCTTTTGTGGCATGCAATCAACGAAGTTAGTGTGATAGATGGTGGCCTAACTATAGAGGGATTCTTTCATCAATCAATTGCACAATTATCAGAAGTAGTTAAGCAATAAAAATGGGAAAATTAGTTCTAGCTAAGGTTGGCATTTATTGTAACATACGCAAACATGTGCACTGTTTTAGCTTAAAGAAACTGGAAATCTCTCCAATTATTTCATGTTTTGAATTACAGAGATTCAAAACGGTGTTTCCATAAAATAAGATATATGAAAGATTGTAAAAACATCTGTAACGGACAAAAAGAAAATTCAGCAACCTCTCTTTGACATTGTTATATTCAATAAAATCTTTGCTTTGAGAATAAAGCTCCTTTACAGATATTCATCGAGTCTGTAACATGCATTTAGTAATGTGATAGGAATAAGAAAGTGCACATGCATGTCCGAAGAAATTTTTGATTTCTAATTGGAAGATGTTACATGCCAAGGATCCATGGAGCTAAAAAAGTCCGTGATCTAGCATACAGGACAATTCCCACCATAGAGCATTGCCATCAAATTCAACAATATCAATGTCACAAATATGAATGGTTTAACAGGACACTAAAAACCACATCTCGAATTGCACCATTGACTCATACAGACAAAGCCAAGTGAAAAGCAAGAAGAACCATCGATTATCAGAAGTTCAAATTTCTTGCGAATGAACATATTTAGTTAACATTCTAAAACTCAAGTGGAAGGTTGAAAAAATACCGGCCGTCTCCGCCGGGGGTGTTGCGATGCATTTACATATCCCATTCTTCTTTGCCGGAACTGCAACCTTCAAAGTTCTGCATGCACACAACAATGAAATTTAGCTTAAAAAAAACTTCCAAGCTCCTCAGAGAAATGGAAAAATAACAGAAAAAAAAATAATAATATTCTTTTCTTAACAATTAAAGATGAAACCTGGAGTTGATGCTGTTTGAGCTCAAAAAAGCGGATGAAGATGAAGAAAAAGAGATTGAAAGATGCGTCAGGGACATTTTTTCTATATAAAATGCAGCTACCTTTCGGTTAGTGAACTGAGTCGAAGCAAGAAAATTTGATTAATTCTAGAAGATTAGGGTTGTAAGAGGTATTCTGAGAACACCTTTGGAGGAACAAGCTTAAGCTACTACGCAAGCCGCCGCCCGAAGAATGAGAAAGAGGTTCTAACTTTTAAGCCCTAAACCCATGATTCGAAGTGGACGATGGAGATGCAGAGCAGCAAATGAATAGAGAACACACGGGACTCTCTCTCGCTGGCTCCAATAACGTAAATTAAATAAGGGTTCGTTTTTGCAAGTCTTTTTCGGAAGATCTTTCGCGAACCGAATGAAAATAGACCGAAAATCTGTCTGCCTAGGTTGTAAATGAAAGGACCGAATAGGCCCTTAATATCTTAAAATTTTTCCATTCCTAACTTTTTTTAAGTTATTTCTTATTTAGTAAAGAATTTCTCTAATAAATTATCTTTACTTTTTATTTCTCTTTTTTCTCACTTTTTATCTATATTTATCTAAAGAAAGTTTAAATTAAAAAATATAAGAATTATTTAAATATTTTAACAAAATTATATAATAACTTTAAAATATTTATTAAAAACACAAAAAATAATTATAATTGATTTAATACTATTCATATTATTAATAATTTTATATTTTTACAAAATTCATCACAAAATTATATACAAACAATATAAATTATGATTTTCTAGAGTATTCAATCTAAATGTTATTCAAATAATAAAAATCTAACATTAAAAAATGAAATACTAATTAAATATTTTAATAACTAAATATCTTAAATAACAAAATATTAAAATTGATATTTTAAATCAATTAATAATATATTTTAAATAGTTAATGAATGACTTTCAATTATAATGAATAGATTAAGATTTTAAATATTTAGTCAAATAACAAAATATTTAACATAATTAGATTTTAAATAGTTAAAATAACAAAGTTGTGTATTAATAGTACTATAATTTTATGCATTATTAAATTCAACAAGTAATTAATATTTTAAAATTTAAATGATGATATTATTTAAATAAATAAATAAATAATATTGTAAATAACTAATTTCATTTATACCAATTAATAATTCTAGAAAATAACTTTCAAAAGTTAATGTTTTCATCTATATTTATTATATAGTTATATACTAAAATTAATATTTATTGTATTTCAGTAATTATTTTTTATTTTTTGTGATAAATATATTTTCAATAATTATGTATAAATCTATTTTTGCTTGGTTATTTAATAGAAAATTTTCAATAATTATTAGAGTTTAAACTATTGTTACTTAGCTTTCTAAATTTAATTTATTGTCTATTTTCACTATAAATTTTTAATAATTATTGGAGATCAAACTATTGTTCACAGGTTGGTTCGGTTCGGTTGTAGGTTGTTTGGCCAACCAAATCAACCGGGTGAAGTTGGGGAGGTTGTCAATCAGGTTATATCGGTTTGGGTCAATTCTTGATTTGGTTGGCCAGTTTAAAAGATTTGAACTTAAAAAATTAAGTTTAAATTAAAAAAAAATACAATGGCATTATTAAAAATTAAATTTATGATATAAAATATTTTAGCCTAAGAAATATTGGAATTTTCACACTTTCCTATATTAAATATATATATGTAAAATATAAAATATTAATACATGTGGTCGGGCTGTTCGATTTTGGTCAGTTTACAAATGGCTAAAGCGAAACTGGTCCAACCCAGTTGGGTTGGGAAATTGTTGAACCAAAGTCGACTAGAAATACTACAAATCAAGCTAGTCAATTTCATCAGTTTGATTAGGAATGGCAATGGGGCGGGGCGGGGACGAGAAGACTCTCCCCATCCCTGTCCCCACGAAAATACCCATCCCCGCTAACAAGGACAAAGTTATCCCCATCCCTGTCTCCACGGGGATCCCCACTCCCCATGATTCTTTATAATGTCAACCATTATCTTTTTTATTTTATTTAAAAATTAAAAATAAAATAAATAAAATTTACAATCCTATTAGAAAGGATTCAAACATATTTAACTATATTTTTAAAAATACCAACATATAGACATATGTGTACATTATACATATATATTAGCAGGGATCCCATGGGGTGGGGATCGGGGTCCTTACGAGGTAGGGAATGCTCTCCTCGTCCCTACTCCACCCTCGCAGCGGGAAAATCATCACTGATGAAGGGTAATTTGGCCCGACCTCATAGACGGGTGACACATGTATGTGACTCGACATGAATGACAACTCGGCATGAGCAGATCGGCACGTGGACATGACTCGATGTAGACAACAGCTCACCAAGCGTCAGTTCGTCTCATAATGAGCTCGGGTACGGTAATGTCTCAAGCTGAAGGTACTTCGGGTCGAATCCACCCCAGTTCAGAAACTGAAACGACCAAGTTCATGGCAGTCTAGATCCAAGCAAGTGAGCCACCTCAGAGACGGCTCACCTCGTGCAGAATCACCTCAGCATACCACCAACAGCTCGACACAAGGTAGCTCACTACAGGATTCATTATCAAGTAGCCCTGAATCCCGCGAGAAGCTTCCTATCTGACAATCGTACCTGCCAACCCTAAAAGTTGCACCCACATCCCTTGTTTGACGACTCAGTATCTGCCAACTCTGGGGACTACACTCATTGTCCCTCACCTGGCGGCGTCGTGCCTGCCAACCCCGTAGGTTGTCCCCTGCCTGGCGGGACTGTACCCTACAACGGTCGCATTAGCACACCTACTCCCCAGTTCTGACGACGATAGCCAATCACTCCGAGCCGTTATCTAACAGCAGATCGCCGCGGCAGAGATTTGGGAGCAGCCCCTTCGAACCTACCAGAATACTAGTATATAAAGACTTCAACCCCCTAGGGGCCAAGGTATTGCATATTCACCACTCTCTAGCTTTCTCATCTTCTTGCAAAAACCCATTCTCTTCTAGCTCGCAACTGAGTATTAACTCAAGTATCGGAGTGTTCCCGCCGGGTGAGGAACCCCGGGTTCATTTCTCTTCACGCAGGAATCTCTTGCCCGTCGCCAGCTAGGAGCTTAGTCACTTCCAGCTAGGAGTGGCCGGATTGTGCATTGGTGTCGTCTGTGGAAATCCGTTTCAAAAAGCTTTCTCTACCAAACTTTCACCAGCATTAATGGCGTCTTCTAGCAACGCTGGGCAGAACAACGGAATGAACACTTCAGGGGGCACCATCAGGCCCCCGCCGTGCGTATCGGCCAGTTTACTGTACCTCTCAGCACCTTCGGGGTCCCCACGCTGGACCTACCCCAGGTCGTCGAGGCGGTGAACACCTCGTTCCCTTCTGCGGTGAACACCACCTTCACGGAACCCTTTATGGTTCCTCCCACCGTGGGGCAAAACTAGTTGGGTGATCTAGTGCAGCACGTGCGGGCCATTCAGGCCCAGATGCAGTAAGTCCAGCAGCTTCAACACTACCAACTGCAAGTCCTGGGTCGTTTCTATCAGCAGCAGTTCCCAACACCGCAGCAAAGCCGACAACCAGCCCAGCCGCGGTGCCCAATAACGCTATAGAACCAGTAGCCGCTCAACCGCCGCCGAAGCAGCCGTCCTCGCCGAGGAGAAACCTCTCAAGCCTCATCCCGTAGCAGGAGGGAGCCAGTAGCTCCCACCACCTTGCGACTACAAGGCGGATCAAAAAGCTGGTTCGTCCCAGCGCATGCAAGACCCTTCAGTCTGCGGAAGCCAGTACCAACTTGATTCTCACCAGGCCAAGACCTGACCTGATAGCATTGAAGCGAGTAGCACCAACGCAGATTCCACCAAGAAGCAACGAAGGCGGCGTCCCAAGGCTCGTCACGCGATAATTCCTGAGCAGCTCGCAGAGCCTAGTCAACCCGAGCAACTCAAGGTAAGACGGGGGCGAGCCCAGGGGTCGCGAGGACCACCCCTCTTCTCTCAGTGTCATCTCCCCTCTCTCTTGATCTCCTGGCAGCTCCCATGCCAAAAGACTTCAAGGTACCTCCCCTAGACAAGTACGACGGGTCGTTTGACCCGAGTAACCACATAGACTCCTTCCAGTCCTAGATGCACCTTGTCGGGTCCAGTGAAGCCTGCATGTGCGTTGCCTTCTCCACGACCTTCAGAGGAGTGGCGCGCACGTGGTATAGAAACCTCCCATCCGGAGCAATCTAGAGTTGGGCGTAGTTCGTACGAGCATTCACCTTGCACTTCGTTACCAGCAAAAAATGCCCAAGGTCGCAAGAAAGCCTTCTCGGCATAGTCCAGAAAGAGGGAGAGTCCATCCGGAACTACATCAAGAGCTTCAATGACAACTGCTCTTGATCCTGAACTTGGACCCCACGGTAAGACTCGCCGCAGCAAAGAGAGGAGTCACTCACCGGGAGTTCAAGTGGCATGTGGCGATGAACAAGCCCAAGGACATCACCGCTTTCCTCAAGTTCGCTGACCAATTCATCGAGACTAAAGAGGAAATGAACCAAAAGGCCGGAGCTCCAGCAGAGAAGAGAAGGAGGGACGACAACAAGATGCACCACGAAAGCAGTAAGAGGAAGAAGAGCAAGTCCCCGACCAGGGGAGACAGCAAGTCGGGATGGCACCTCCGAGCTCCCCCGGAGGAAAAGATAAGAATTTGTATTGTCATTTCCATAAGGATCATGGTCATAGTACCGAGAATTGTAAGATCCTCTGCGACGAGATTGAGGAACTTATCCGCCGCAGATACTTAAAAAACTTTGTACAAAAAAATAATAAAAATCAGGCAGATTGACAAGAGGAGCAGAGGAGAGATGCTCCCGAGTCCAATAATAGGCAGAATGAGCAGAGACCACCGCCCGAAGAAAGGCCTGTCCGTGAGGTGATCAACACGATCATCGGCGGATCCATTATCGCGGGCTGCACCTCGGCAGCTGGCAAGACCTCGGTCCATGAACTGGGGCGCGAAGAGTAGAATCCGCCGAAGCGCCCATGACCCATGGACCCCATATCCTTTACAGAGGATGATGCGCGAGGAGTCCAGTATCCCCATGATGACGTGTTGGTCATCAGGATGAAGATCAGCGATTTTGAAATCAGACGCGTCTTGGTGGATTCAAGAAGCTCGGCCAACATCCTGTTCAGGAACACCTTCGACAAGCTGCAACTCAGGGAGAGCAACCTCCAGCACACAAGTACCTCCTAGTGGGCTTAAGTGGAGAAGAAGTAAGGCCCCATAGTCGGATCTCGTTGCCTGTGGAGATCGGAACGTGGCTCAGCATTGCGAGGTTTGAGCACGCCTTCCTAGTGGTTG